AACTTTACACATGCAAAAAAGTCTTATTAAAGGAGCTACATGAATGGTAATTAAAGTACTTCTCTGTGTGTTTTTCCCATACAAAGCATAGCAGATGGGGGGGAGCACATTTTTTAAAATGTTTTTTTTTATAAAGGAACAACCCTCAAACTAAAGAAGAGGTAGGGAAAAACAGACAATTTGAAGAATGGGCGTGGACGATGTCACTGACTTAGGGGGCAAATTCACTTCTCCGCTCCAATGAAATCACCCAGATGTTGCCACATTCACTTCTCAGCTAAAATGAAATCACCCAGATGTTGCCACACTAAATGTCTATTTTCAGCCTGTTTCGAAATCTCTCCCCTCTGAGCAAAAAACCCAGGACTTTCTGTTTCTGTGAGGGAGACGTAAAGAAAGGGCTTTGTGCAATGTGGAGCCATTTCCCCCATTGTGGAGCTAATCGTAGTAGCACCCAGATGCTTGGGGGAAGTCTCCAGAGTGGAGGAGAGAGCTGGGCAACATGGATCCCGTGGGCCCCCCCCCCCCCAAAAAAGTAGTGCTCTCTGTAGGGGTGGTCTGCCTGACAAAGCCCGCCCCCAGTGCTGAGCAACACCCTCCACCCAGGTATTGTGAGGGATGGTATGCTCAGGGTTTGTACATGAAACGGGATCTGCTGCCACGCATTCACGCCACCCAGCCATTATTTGAGAGCCAGAGCTGACAGGCAGGAGGGTCATGTGAACCGGCCCTGGCCAGTGTACAGAAGAGTGGGGAAGGGAGTCAGAGGTGCCAGGCGAGGGCCGCGAGCACTTCCCTTCACCTTGGCCAGAGGCTCAGAAGGCGGGGCGAAAGAGGGAAAGACCAGGCAAGGAGCACACCTGGCCACCATCAAAGCATCTGCATGGATCGTGGCCTTCTCAGTGGCAGGAATGGCGGTAGGAGGGACCTAGTGCTTCGAGCCCTGCTGGATCAGACAGGGTCCCTCCAGGCCAGCATCCTCTTTCAGGTACTGAGCAGTTGCTCTGGAGGGCCAGCAAGTTGGGGGGCGCAGAGAGCGAGGCTCTCCCTTCCCTTCCCTGGCGATGCCTCCTGTCGCTGGTACTCGGAGGCTGGCTACCTCTAGGTATGCGGCACGGCAAGCACCCCTGGATGGGCCTCTCCTCCCGGGATCTCCCTTTCAGAGCCATCCATTCTTGGGGCTGTCACTACACCCACTGCCAGTGAATACCACACTCCGATCAGTCAGTGAGTAAAGAAATCTTTCCTTTCAACTGTCCTGAATTGACCCATCACCTGCATTAGGTGCCCCAAGTGCTAATAGGGGGGGGGGGGAGAAAGTTCTCCACCCCATTTTGTAGATCCTGATCATGTTCCCTGTTATGTATTGGGACTGAAACACTGCAGGAGGGTGCTGCCAGAGACAGGGTGAGCTTGGAGCCGAAGAACAACAGACCATCAGGATTCTGGCAGTAACCGATCCAGGTGTGATGTTATGTAAATAGCAACAACAACAAGTTGTAGGCAATATAACTGAGCTGGTCTGCAACCACTGACTAAAGTAGAGCGGATCACTAGACTGGGAGTCTGTTCCTCCATGGGACCCCCCACTATTTCACATTCCCCGTCTTTTTTTCTTTTAACGGACCAATCCCAGGCTCTTCTCTTCTCTTCTGCACTTTTCCTAACTCTGCAGTCTCCTTTATAAGGCGTCCCTGCAACTGGAACTGCACCCAGCTCTAGGCCAAGCACTGAGTCTCGGGGGCACCCTCGGGGCCGGCCCGTGGGTTGGGGGGGGGGGGGGGGGGGTAGCCCTGGGGTCCGTCCGCCTGCAGCTCCCCGGAGCCTCTTGCGGCCCCTGCCTGCCCCCGCCCCGCTGCCGCTTGCCAGTCCTCCCGAGCAGAGCCCCTTCTCCCGCGTCGCGTTGCCCACCCCCGGGAGGGTCCGGCAGAGGCGGCGAGTTGCTCGAAGCTTGAAACAAACGAAGAGCGCGTGAAGCGCAGGAAGCTGCCGCGGGCGCTCCGCGTCGCTCGGGGGGTTGGGCCGGACCGTCGGCTGTCTGGCGGGACTTTGGCCGGGCTCCGCGTGGCCGCTTTGGCGCAACAGGGAAGGCGGGGCCGCCCATC